AAGGATTGAACCCACATTTCCTGCATTGGCAGGCGGATTCTTTACCACTGTACCACCTGGGAAGCCCTTATATAGCCACTGGAGTCATTTATTTGGCTCATTTTATTCATATGAGTTTTAGACAGGGTTTCGCAATTAGTCACATTGTCATGTGCATGCTTCACTTAAACTTCAGCATTTTCAAAAGCCTATTACATTTTAGATGAAAGGCATGGAGTTCTCATTCTGCCTCTACCATCTATTCAGTTACGGACAAGTCACTTCACTATTGTATAGTTTGCTTGCTTATACGGTAAAAATAAACATTTGGATATTAATTTATAGTGTCCTGTGACTCATTTTCTGTGTTTTTTTTAATAGTTAAGAACTGTTGAATACAAATTAAAACTTGGCTATTTTATTGCACAATTCATAACTGACATCTAAAAGGATGTTCAGACTTGCTGTTTATTGCAAGCAAAGTTAGAATTGCAGATAGCGATTCTGACACAGTGCTTAGCTGTCTGACCAGTAGAGATCCTGAATATTTCCCATGACATGAGCAAGGTGTTTTTTTTCTCTGTTGAAGTTTTTTTTTTTTTTTAATGTGAAATCTGGAGAAAAAAGTTCTGTGGTCCTGTATAAAAAACAAGCTAAAGTTATTATTGGAAATTTGTAAACAGGTGCTCTAGAGTGGGATTGGTAAGCTTTTTCTGCAGAGAATCAGATCGCAATATTTCAAGCTTTGTAGACAATACATGGTCTCTTTCTTCCTTCACCTTCTGCTTCTTTTTTCTTTCTTCCTCCTCCTCTTTTTTTTTTTTTCCTAAGCAACAGGTTAAAACATGTTAAATCATCCTTAGCTCAGACCATATTAAAACTGTTTAGAGCAGTGCTTCTCAAACTTCATCGCACATATGCATTGCCAGGAAACCTTGTTAAAATGTAGATTCTGATGCTCTGGGTCTGGGGTTAGGCTGGGGATCCTGTATTTCTCTTATGCCCTTGGATACCAAAGCTTTAGAGGCTAATAGCATTTCATGTAATGAACAGCCCCCTCTACTGTTCAGTTTTTAATCCCCAGTGACTAGCTGACAACTCAGCTATTTTTGTTTTTGTATTTTAAACAAATAATGGGGTTGTTTTGGTCATAGTACTTTAGTGATTCTTCATTATTTTAAAGCCTCACACCTTTCTGAAAATTTAGTGAATGCTGCTGTCCCTCTAGCCACCTCTCCCTCCTGCCCACAAAAAAAAAAATACCCAGTTTTATGCACAATTTCAAAAGAATTCACAGACCTATCTAAGGCTTATTCATCTTACAGGTCACTTCTATAGTTGTGTAATGTCTAAATTGAAGAGAGCTCAAAATTAATTCCCTCATATTTAATAACATCTTAAAATTTACATTGAAACTGTGTCTTGGGCTTCCCTGGTTGCTCAGTGTTGAACAGTCTGACAATGAAGGAAATGCAGGTTTATATCCTTGGAAGATCTCCTGGAGAAGGAAATGCAACCCACAGTATGCTTGCCTGAGAAATCCCATTGACAGGGGAACCTGGTGGGCTACAGTCCACAGCATGGCAAAAGAATCAAGTCTCAACTGAGTGACTAAACCACAACAATGTTTTTTCATATTTCCAATTCTGTTTACTTATCTATCTCCCTACTTACATGTCTATCAATCACTTATCTGACTTATAAGACCTTTTACTTTTATTTTATGCCCTATTGGTTATTGCTGGCCTGGTGATTACATTTAAAATGTAAAACTGTAAATGAGGAAAATAACCCAACTGTTGGTTAGAGTGAACCTGAATTATTACAATGCCTTATATTAAATTTTCTCACAGTGCCTTTATGTATGACTTTTTAAAAACTACTTTATTGAGATACTATCCATACATACTTTACTCATTTAAAGCATATAATAGTTTTTATTATTTTCATGGAGCTTTCCAATCATCACCATTATCAATTTTAGAATATTTTCATCACTCCCCAAAGATTCTCAAGTCTCCCTTCACCTCTTGTCCCTATTTCCTACCCTAGATAACCACAGACCTTTTTGTTTCTATGAATTTAACTATTCTGGGTATTTTTGTAAGTGGAATCATTTTGTGACTAGCTACTTTCACTTAGCATAATATTTTCAGGGTTCACTTATGTTATAATGTTTGTCAGTATTTCATTCATTTTTACTGTGGAATAATATTCCATTATGTGGATATGTAACATTTATTTATCTACTCATCTCTTAAGGGACATTTGGGTTCTTTCCATTTAAAAAATTTATTATGAATAATGGTGCTATGAATGTTACAGTACATTAAAAGGTTATTGTGTGGATATAAGGTTTCATTTCTCTTGGGTTATGTGTGTATGATGCTGAAGCTGAAACTCTAGTACNCATCTCCAAACAGATTTCTCTCACCATTTCCTTTAGGATTATTTACAGCAGCTGGTGGTGCAGCAGCTGGTGGAAACTTTCCACAAATAATGACTTTTGACACTTTATAAATTAAAATATTCAAAACAATACATTATGCAAAATTTTCATCTTAAAATACCAAATGGGTCCTTCTCTTCCTGTTTCTTCTAACTTTTAATGGTCCTGTAGTCAAAGGAAGGATATTGGTACCTGTCACTCTTTCTTACCATATGGAATACCAAATTCTGTCAAGTGTTTATTTTATGATGTACCTTATATTTTCCTCCATTTTTCTACATTAAGTGTTGTTTCTAAATGTCAGGTTCTTTTTTATTGTTCTCTGGGATATTGAGGTAACTCTCACCTGGCTTTTTGCCTCCCTAATTAATTTTTCTAATACACAGTTGGTCATGTCACTGCCTCCTTGAAATCAGTGAGCCATATAGAATAAAAGTCACATTCAGTATCATGTTATTTTAAGGCCTGTTGTCTTTGGCCGCATGACCACCTTTCACCCTCACCTTCCACGTTAACGTCCTCTCTGATTATTAAGTGTATTATGCATGTACTGTCATTTCTCTGTCCTTTTGCTCATGCTGCTGCTTCAGTGTAAATGTCTTTCTCCTTCTGTTGCATTCTATTTTCATTCTTCACAATCCAATTTATTTTTTAATTTTAGTATTTATTTTTGTTGGAGTGTAGTTGCTTTACACTGGTATGTAAGTTTCTGCTATACAGGAAAGTGAGTCATGTTTCCATATACATATATCCCCTCTTTTTTGGATTTCCTTTCTATTTAGGTCACCACAGAACACAGATTAGAGTTCCCTATGCTATACAGTAGGTTCTTGTTAGTAACCTGTTTTATTCATAGTAATGTATTTATGTTAATGCCAATCTCCCAATTCAACCACACCTTTCCCCTCTTGATATTTATTTGTTTTGTATATCTTTGTCTCTCTGCTTTTCAAATAAGATTATCTGTACAAGTTTTCTAGATTACACATATATATGTTAATATATGATATTTGTCTTTCTCTTTTTGACTTAACTTCACTCTGTATGACAGTCCTTAGGTCCATCCACTTCTCCGCCAGTGACACAGTTTCATTCTTTTTTATGGCTGAGTAATATTCCTTTGTATATATGTGCCATATCTTCTTTATGCATTCCTCTGCTGATGGACATTTAAGTTGCTTCCATGTCCTGGCTATTGTCCATAGTGTTGGAATGAACACTGAGTTGCATGTGTACTTTTAAATTAATGTTTTCTCTGGGTATATGTCTAGGCATGGGATTGCTGGGTCATACAATAGTTCTGCTTTTAGTTTTGGAGGAACTTTCACACTTATCCATAGTGGCTGTATCAGTTTACATTCCCACCATCTGTGTAAGAGGTTTCCCTTTTCTCCACACCCACTTCAGCATTTATCATTTGTAGCTATTTTGAGGATGGCCATTCTGTTTGATGTGAGGTGATATCTCATTGTAATTTTGATTTGCATTTCTCTAATGATTAGTGATGTTGAGCAGCTTTTCATGTATTTATTGGCCATCTGTATATCTTCTTTGGAAAAATTTACTGGCCATCTGTATATTTTCCTTGGAAAAATGTCTATATAGGGCTCCTACCCATTTTTCTGGAGAAGGAAATGGCAACCCACTCCAGTTTTCTTGCCTGGAAAATCCCATGGATGAAGGAGCCAGGTGGGCTTCAGTCCATAGGGTCACAATTGTTTTTTGATATTGAGCTAAATGAACTGTTTTTGTATGTTGTGGAGATCAATCTCTTGTCACTTGCTTAATTTGCACATATTTTCTCCCATCCTGTGGGTTGTCTTTATAATCCAATTTAAATGCTACCGTTTTTGGGGGGCAACCTCTTACTATGCTCTAATTAAAGTTGAGATTACTTTTCTAGATCTTCTCCTATAATGCATTTCTTGGACTGCCATGCAACACTTATTTCAGCATAATGATTTAGCTTGAGTTCCTCAGTCAGAGATACCTAGGGTCAAATCCCGCCTCTACTGCTTACTTCTTTCACAGTCGTGAGCAATTTATGTCATTAAACTTCTTCCTTGTCTGTTGAATGCAGTTAATTATTGTTTGTATATAATGTTCCGGTCTTTTATTGTGTTAGCTCTGATAGCACAATGCCAGCGTGATAAATGGTTTATATGTGTATATTCTAGGTACTTCCCCACTTGACTTTCTCCTTCAGTAAATAGTAAGCCCTTTGAGGACAGGAAATTAACCTGACTCATCTTATTAGTATCCTTTCCATTTTACTGGTTTCAAAAGAAAATTTCATGCTGTTTTTACTTTTGTTTGGAATGACTCATGGAACATGTTAAACTCAACTCGTTAAAATTGAAATATTAATTTATTGCTATATTGTCTTGTTCCACAAGGAATGTGGGGTGACTTACGAGATGCATAAAGAACAAAAGACTGAAGCATAAATAAAATGGTAGTAAGTGCATTTTGAATGATTGAATAGTTTAATTTCATCAGTGTGAACCCAAGTTGAAACAAAAGCTATAGATAAGGAAATCAGAGCTTGTGTTCATTTTGTCATGTTTTGCAGGATCTCGTCTTCGCCAGGAAGACTTTCCCCCGAGGATCGTGGAGCACCCCTCTGATGTCATTGTCTCTAAAGGAGAGCCCACTACTTTGAACTGTAAGGCCGAGGGCCGGCCAACGCCCACCATTGAGTGGTACAAGGATGGTGAGCGGGTGGAAACTGACAAGGATGATCCCCGGTCCCACAGGATGCTTCTGCCCAGCGGATCCTTATTCTTCTTACGCATTGTGCATGGGCGCAGAAGTAAACCTGATGAAGGAAGCTATGTGTGTGTTGCAAGGAACTATCTTGGTGAAGCAGTGAGTCGAAATGCATCTCTGGAAGTGGCATGTAAGTAAACGTAATGAATCTCACAAATGGCATGCACTTTGATTTATTTTTAGTAAGCTTTGATTTGTTCCCATGGGTGCTTAATACCTAAAGAATAAAAGTCAACACTGACTAATTTTACTGTGCTTTCTCCAGAGAAAGCTCATCAAAATAATGTATAGCCAGGGTGTTGCAATAGAAGTATTTATTGAGCTGGCCAAAAACTTTGTTTGGATTTTTCCATTATAGCATACAGAAACCTGAACAAATTTTTGGCCACCCCAATATATTGAAAGAGTGTGGGTATTATATTATTATATTAAAGCAAGGTGGCAGTGATGCTGATCATATTTTAAGTTTGAATTTTTAATGAGAGATATAATCAAGCATTATGATGGGCAATGTTAAAATAAAGAGTTTATGTGTAACATGGCATCAAATATAAGGCATAAATTCATTATTGTACCTATTTCTGTTATGTTTATATGTACCTATTTTAATATATTTATACATATTATTTTTTATATCTAATTTTTATTAGGCAGCTTTAAAACGAATATACTCTTTAGGTTATATTAACTCTTTTGCTTCCAGGGTAAGTTCAGAGATGCCCCAAGGCATGTAGGGGAAAATATACTAACAAAAGGAATTATATTTTTTTTATAAAAATGCACTAGAGAAGTGATTTCTGTTTATAGTCAAAATATTCATATACAGGAAGATCTCGCTCAGATTTTATAATCAGTAATAGCTAATGATTTGTCCTGCCTTTGACACTTAAGATTGTATTTATTTATTAGTCATGTAGCCCAGATAGCACTAGTAAATCAATATATCAAGACTTTGCATCTGTTTGACCATTGACTCCATACCTTTATTTTTCAAATGATTTTCCAGAAAAAATTTCACAATACATTAGATTTGTTTTCTGGCTTATACGTGAGGATTTGGTGTCACAATTTAAACAGCATCATATAATTTTGGTATTCTCTATTTTGAAGAAATATTTTATCAATAATTATTTGTGAATAAGATGGCAGTAATTGAGTTTTAAAAAATTTTGTGCTTTTCAACTTCTTGCATGTACCAGTAGGTATTCATAGATAAGATAACTGAAATATTTCAGAATGCCTGAGTCTTTTTTTTTTCTTTACAAAGTTGGAATGGGAGTCCTGGATATAATATTTCATAGGCTCATGTCTACAATTAACTGATACTATACTCACAGGCTATATGGTAGCACGTGATTATAAAACTTGTATATATATGTATTGAAATACTCAACAATATATCATTATCTTTATATATGAAAGCATCTTTCAGTAAACAAAATCATACAATTTCTTACTCAGCTGTCTCAATGAAAGTTTTTGCTCTTAAACATCCAGTATTTAGATTTATGGTTTGTACTAGGAAATCTGGAACCTGCTCCATGCTTGGAATGTGTAGGTTCAATAGGAAAACACTACACTAATTTTAAAACCCTAATTTATTCTGTGAAGTACTTGTACTTTGAAATATAAGCATTAGAACTTTTGTTAGCAATGCCATTTTGTACCAGATCAGGTTAGATCCCTGGATCGGGGAGATCCCCAGGAGAAGGAAATGACAACCCACTCCAGTATTCTTGCCTGTGAAATCCCCTGGCGGGTTATAGACTATTGCAAAAGAGTTGGACATGACTTAGCTACTAAAACAGCATCAACAAGCTAAGTAATTTCATTTTTATAACTTTCTTTTAAAAGCAGTTAGTTTAAAAGACAGAGTGAAGTAAGCCAGAAAGACAAAGACCATTACAGTATACTAACACATATATATGGGATTTAGAAAGATGATAATGATAACCCTATAGGCAAAACAGAAAAAGAGACTCAGATGTATAGAACAGACTTGTGGACTCTGGGAGAAGGCGAGGGTGGGATGTTTCAAGAGATCAGCATCAAAACATGTATATTATCTAGGGTGAAACAGATCACCAGCCCAGGTTGGGTGCATGAGACAAGTGCTCGGGCCTGGTGCACTGGGAAGACCCAGAGGGATCGGGTGGAGAGGGAGGTGGGAGGGGGGACCGGGATGGGGAATACATGTAAATCCATGGCTAATTCATTTCAATGTATGACAAAAACCACTGCAATGATATAAAGTAATTAGCCTCCAACTAATAAAAATAAATGGAAAAAAAAATAAATAAATAAAAGCAGTTTAGTGAGATATGATATATATACACCCAAAATCTCAAGAAAACAAATATTCCTAACTGCTTATTTTTGTTTTGAATTATCTTATTTCTGGAACATTTCAAACATATCAAAATATTTCAGTGTTAATTCTATTGACTTTTCTCCCCACAGGATCCCTTTATAGTAAATGTAACAGGCACTATTTTTTTCCTTTTATAAATAGAATGAAACCCCTGATGGTTGGGTGACCAAGACTCTCACCATAAGTTAAAGGGGAATTCAGGATCAGGCCACGTTTGTTCTAATTTTCAGTTTTAGATAATTATGCCATATTTGGAAAACAGTCAAATGAAATCTGGCTCATTTTATATAAAAAAAATAAAGATGTTTTAATTAAAAGTTTTCTTTTATCTACTCAATAGCAAATAATGCGTTTTACTTATTAAATTGAAGTATAGTTGATGTGCAATATTATAGCCATTTCAGGGGTACCACATAGTGATTTACAATTTTTAAAGGTTAAATTTCACTTATAGTTGTTCTAAAATATGGGCTATAGTCCCTGTGTTGTACTGTGTATCCTGTTAGCTTATTTATTTTAAGCAAATAAGTATATTTTTAATCCTTAACTAACTTTCTTCTTAACATTAAATTTTATATAAATCAGCCAGTCACTTTTTTTGTTGGGCAGCTATAAACTTATTTTGTTTTCTGAGCCTTATCTTTCTTAAAATAGCTTCTAACACATATGCACCTTGCACTTTTATTTAACTGAAAGGATTTCTCTTTCCTAGTTGCATCATTAATAATGAATCAAACTGTTTGAGAAGGAAAATTTTAAACCATGATTTTTTTTTTTCATGTAATGTGGAAGTAGCATTTTTCTTTGTTTTTTAAATCAGTAAGCTTTGAGGAATGCTAAAAAAATGCTTCTGACTTAGAGGGGGAAAACAAGATGGGTTCTAAATTGGATTCAGCTAGTGAATAAAATTCTTTCTTCTAATGCCCTGTCAACAGTTCATGCCATTTGAGGCAACACGAGATCAAATAATATCCATTTATATGCTGCTCATCCTTTTCACATTAGCTCATCAGTATTCTTCCTTTCCTTGTGTGTTTCATAAAATGTGTTAATATGGAAATCTAGGTCAAAGCATTGTGATTTGTCAGTACTATTGATAACCAAGGTATATTTTTACAAAATGATAGGAACCATCGTGGGTCATATAAATGTCTGGCCTTCATATTTTTGGATGCAACATAAGTGCTCAATTATGGCAGATCTATTTATAAGTCTGTTAAAGGAAAGAATGGAAGCCTGAAAACACTATGTATTTGGAGAACTAAAGGTAGCTTGATATGAGGTTGGTAGGCAGCATGTTAGTCATGTGGTAAATCATAAAATCTAGACTTTTTGCTATGTAAAAGGAGGATGTTAGAAAGAAAATCGAAGATTAGGTTAAATTGATGGAGATTGAAGTCAGAGTGGAGTTAGAAGCTGTAAAATCATTCAGAGAAAAGTATATGTTAGGTTTTAAATTGTATGAAAGAGTGAGGATTGAAAGAAGAAAATAGTTTGTATCATATTTACAAACTGTATCACTTTGTGGTTGGTTTGGGAGATAAAGGTAACTCCCAGATGTTTTTGGTGGAGTGACTAGGTGTATTATGATACCTATGATACAAAGGGATGGCAGATACAGGAGAAATAGCTCTAGTGGAAGTAGCATAGTGCAGTCAGTATGGTTGCATTGTTTGACATATCAGTGAAATAATAGCAAGGTAAAAATATACCATCTTCTATTAAGAAAAGAGCTCCTGGAGTTTAGAGGTCTTTCCCAGATGGAAGTTGAAGCCGTGGGAGTAGATAGACGTGGATGTGAATGCCCAGGCAAGCTCTTTGTAGGGAATGGTTGATAAGGCCTGAGATCACTTCCCTTGTTTGGAACCCTAACATTAATGTCAGGCAAAGGAAAGAATTCTAGTGCAGGAAGCTTAGAGAAAGTATTGAGGTGATGGACTGTGAGGAATGGAGTGACAAGAAAAATAAGCAAATAATTTTAAGAAAGAGAAGTATTTGGTAATGCAAATGCTACAGGGTGGTCTAATTAAAAGTATCTGTGGGCTCCAGGGTTGGAAAGAAAGTACAGCAGCTGAAGGATAAGTAGGTGGTGAAGTTGGAGTGGCACATGACAAAGTGCCTGTTCTTTCAAGAATTCAGCTCTGAATTGGGTTTGAGGGACCCACAGCAGGGTATTCCAACTTCCGCACGATCACCATTTGTGACGGGGTTTGCCCTGCTGTAGGGCTCTGCTGTGCATCATAGAATGAGTAGCAGCATCTCTGCTCTTTGCTGAGGAGTTGCCAGTAGGACCCCTGCAACCCAAGTTGTGGGCTTCCCTGGTGCTCATGGTAAAGAATCCACATGTCAATGCAGGAGGCATGAATTCAATCGCGGGGAAGTTCCCCTGGAAAAGGAACCGGCGACCCACACTAGTGTTATTTCCTGGCAAATCCCATGGACAGAGGAGCCTGGCAGGTTACACTCATTGCAAAAGAGTTAAGACATAACCTAGCAAGTAAACGACAACAGCCCAGGTCATGACCACAAAATCTTTCTCCAGGTTCTGTTAAATGTCCTCTTGATGGGGCAGGGACTGGGGAGAGGGTCAAAATCAGCTGAGAATTGATTTAGGTGTATATAAGGTCCTTAAAGGTCCAGCTGGTCAAGGCTATGGTTTTTCCAGTGGTCATGTATGGATGTGAGAGTTGGACTGTGAAGAAAGCTGAGTGCTGAAAAATTGATGCTTTTGAACTGTGGTGTTGGAGAAGACTCTTGAGAGCCCCTT